ACTCTTAACAGAATTCGGTGGTGAAAAATGATTCATGTAGCCGATCCCACATAGTGGGATAAATGCTTAATGTTGTATCATTTATATTTAATTATTTTATTAGGATTATTCTAGTATCATTAAATTTATCATTAATTTATTGGCAGTTTATCAGCATTTTATTACTAGTTCGCTAAGAGTTTATATGTTTTTATTTGTAAATATGTAATTTCATGTAATATAACTTTAGGACATGAATAAAGCTCTAATTAATGATATGGGAAATCTTCTTCATCTATTTGAGGATTTTGATTCTTAGTCAAGTGTAAGAAATAATTTCATGGAGATGCAATATTTTTCTTTTGTTTATTTCCTTTTTTTCTATTTTTTTTCCATAATGTGGCTTGGGAGCTTGGAGTACCGAGGCAAGAATTGATGGTCGCGACGACAAAATGGTGAATTGCCCACAAAGTCTAAATCTACCTTATATTTTTATAAAACATAATCATTTATAACAATATACATATTCATTATAATCTTCATTCGAGCTATACATGGACCACTAAACCTCAAACTTTTATTGATAACAACTGCAATATAGTAAACTACAGTTATAACTACCAACTAAACCTAAGTAAAGGAAACTAATGTGCATGTTAATCAGCATAGTTGAACTATAAATCGAATATGGCTTTTCATGTCATTGTAGTCAGAATTAGTAAATAGAGTTGAATCGTCACATTTAAGTTAACCTCAAAGGCATAAACATGAAAAGAAACATATCATATTATAATCTATCATTAAGTAGAAATATTTAATACATCTGTCACAAGGATACTATCTAATTATATCAATTTGATATATCATTATTAAGAACCTTTTCCAATTCTATCGCATCATAGGTGAAGACCTCTACTCTTGGATATAAGTTTTTGTATCTAGTACGATAAAGTGGTGACTATTTTTCGACATGCACATGTAACTATTTCTATACATATTATATCTCAACATACATTTAGTTTATGTTTAAAGAAAATTGCTTAGTACATCATAAGATTTACACAAGCAACTGTAACGACACTTGAAGCTATATAGTTTTTTTTAAAAATAATATGAAAAATTATTTGCATTAGGAAGAGGTACATCATTGATGGATCATTTACAATAATATCATCCCATGCTTATAATGGAGATGAATCATAAACAGCACAAATCCACAAGTTTAGGAGAAACGAAACATTATTCTATTTTAGAAAAAAGATTATCTCATAGCTTTAATTTGTCAATCGTTCTGTAGATGTTGCCTCTCATAGCTTAATACCTATAATCATATACAATCACAAGATATTTATTTTAAGTAGCTCCTATACTTCTTTACTAGTCTTAAATTCCTTAATTTCATTTTCCCCTAGTATTATCTAATGAATTTTAGTTTTCTTTCTCTTTATTCTCTACTAAATTTCTAGTTTGCTAATTTATGTTCCTAACAATTTCTATCCTATATTGCTTATTAAATTTATAGATTTACACAAATAAAATCTTAAAATAGGCTTTGAATTTTTAGATTTCCTTATATACACCAAAATCTTAGCATAATAAAATTTTAGATTTCTCAGTGCTGTAAATTAAACACCATGCCCCTTAAATCTTAAAACTAATCTTTCATCTTCATTCACAAAATATAGATCTAGGATTTTCAAATTAATATTCTTAAGTTGAGGGGAAATAATTTGGGTTAGGTTTTGGGCATACATTGAAGAAGAAGAAGAAGAAGAAGTGGAATAGAAAAAAAACACTATCTTTTTTTCCTCCTTCCCGAACTAAACTTGTGCTTTCGCAATGGCATTTGCTTCACTTCACTTGATCCTTAAGCATTGTTGCACATGCAATTGAACTCGTTTGTGATTGGCTTTTGTCACCCGCTCTTGACTCTATAAGCCATCTATTCTTCACTTGCTCAATCTCTCTCTTTTCCTCTTGTTTTCCCCCTTTCTCTTTGTCTCTCGCTAACTCGATTTTCTAACATCTTATTTACTCATTAATCGGAGTTGCCTAAACATTTTAAGTGAATTGTTAATTAGTTAAGTTGTATATATATAAGTTTTTGTAAGAAATATAAGCATTATACTTTTTAAATACATAAATGCTATTAATAACATTTTATCATTACAAAAATATTTTGTTCTTGTATGATTTATACAACTATCTCATAAATGCTATTCATATCATTTTATCATTACATAATTATTTATACATCTTTCTCAAGTTTTTGTCTTTTACATGAATTAGTAATTATTTATTTATTTTGGAAAATTCACCTATTTTAATAGGCTCAACCTAGGCAAGTTATTAAAAATTGAAAATAATTCTAAATTTTTTTAGTAATATCAATATTATATTAATTACCATTAAATTAAATAATTAATTATTTTTGTTTTACATCGATATTATTTTTTTTTATTGTATGAAAGTGATTCATTTTGTTAAAATTATTACAATCTTGATCCTGTATAACACATGAAGTTTCAATCTTATCTGGCATTCGTGATGCTTTATTCTAATCAATGATTTCTTCTACAACAATAACAACAACAACATTCCTTTATCTCACTACATGGAATTGGCTACATAATTCATTTTTCTTTATTGTGTCCTATTAAAAGTCAAGTTATAATTTAAATATAATAAAAAATGTCATTTTTAATTCTTTCTAACCAAGTCTTTTTAGATCTGCCTCTTTTTTTTTTTAACATATGCCAAATCTAATACATCAAGGGTTATCGGAAGGCCGACTTTTTATGTGACTATACTATTTAAGGTGCCTCTCTCTAATCTAATTTGCCACTACAACTACTCCAACTTTTTCATGTATATACTCATTTTTCTTTCTATCTCTTAGTGTAAAGCCACTCATTCATCTGAGCATCCTCATTCTTGCAACACTTAATTTTATGCTTCTGTTTTAATGGTCAGTCTTTTGGGCCATAAAGCATTGCATCTCTCTCACCTCCATCTTATAAAATTTTCCTTAAGTTGGAGAGAGATTTTTTCTATAACACAAGAAGCCCAATGCATTCCTCCACTTTAAACATCCTACTTGAATTCTACTAATAATATCTTCCTCCACTTTAACCTTCCTACTTGAATTCTACTAATAATATCCCCATCTATTTCATCATAGCTTTGAAGAATATACCCAAGATATCTAAAATGTGTCGTCTTTTTAATGACTTGATCACCCGTCATCACATTCCCATTATTAGATCTATTACTACTAAAATTTTACTCTATGTATTTTATTTTAGATCTACTCATACGAAAATCTTTAAACTCTAAGGTTGACCTCCATATTTACAATTCTGTATCAATTCCCTCTCCAGTCTTAACAACAAGAACAATATCATTAACAAAACGCATACACTAAGATGCACTCTTGTAAATGTTTAGTAAGAAAATCCATGACGATAGGAAGAAGATGCAGGCTAAAAGGTCATAATATATTTGTATGACTTGATTTTATTTTTTGGGGATTTTTTCAAAATACTAAATAGTTGTTTTGGATTAATAGATATTATGTAAAGAATTTTCCCATGGTTGCATTATTCTTTGCATCACATATTATATATGTCTTATAAATTTTAGGTCCTCAAATGTCAATATAATGAAACACTATAGAAAATAATGTCAAACTAAAATGTAAATCTTGTTGATAATTGACAGTGTTATACTTTGTTATTTATTAATTATTGTTTGAAAAGCATCCAAGAGCTTAGATGCTTATGATGATAATTGAAAATTACATACCGATTAATTAATTTTGTTGTTTAGTCTTTTGTGATATCATTTCCTTGTGAAATTCATTTTCTTATAACTATCATTGGTTTTTTCATAATCTTTTTTTTATTTTAAGTTGAAATGTTTGGTATTCATCAAATTTCTTGTCATGTTGCCATGTTGCCCTCCTTATGAGTCATGGATCTGCCATTACTAGCATATATTTACTTGTATTCTTCATCAAGTTTTATGATAATGAATTATCACTTTTTTTGTGTGCATTGCCATCCAAAATGCTTTTGGTGCTTTGTTCATAGTCCATATTATTACTTTAGCACATGCCAGTTGTGAAGGAATGATGTGCTTACATTTTTTCCTTTATTTATAGTTTTTATTTTAAACTCAAGAAAATTGGAATATGATCTCAGAAGTATTGAGCAGTTAAAAAATTATTAATAAATAACTTGAATAAGAAATGAGAATCTTATAGTAGATGTGTGGTAGAAATTAAGGATGGATTGCAAAATAGTTATATCAGAGGGATAGTGAGAGTATCAGCTATTGATACAAGAAAGTGAAAAATGGACTAAGGGTTCATTTTGTTGCTTGAAAATAAAAAAAAAATTAAAAATTATATTCACTCATTTTAAATGTGCAAAATGAAATCATTACATTTTATGGTGCGTCAAAGGGATTTGTTAAGTTATTATTTCTAATTGCTTTCAAATTAATGGTGGATTCTAGCAAATTTCTTAGTTTCCTTCAAAACATATTTTCCAACAACCAAGTGGGCCTTAAGATGTTTAGTGCATGTACAACAACAAATGGGCCTGAAGGTGGTTAGGGCATATACAATAACTTATAGAAAGTTGACCAATAAAATGTTATAGAAAACTACTATCAATGATCATGAAGAAAAAATTACTAGATCGAGAGAAACTTGGGTAATTGTGTGCATAAATTAAGTTTACTACCTCATGTAGTAGTCACCAAAGATAAATAGCGAATGAGGATTTATAAGGCCAACCTCATATGATTGGGATAAGAATAATTATGTTGTTGATGTTAATGATGATGGTAAGATTTTTCCATTTTAAAAGTAACAATTCTAGTGAGCTAGTATTCGTTTGGCTCTCATGCCAGCTTTTGTGATCACTAAATTTTTGCTAATTTTTTTATGCCATCTTTGAATTATTTACTTCACTACCCCTGTCACATGAAATTCACAAATATCCAATCTTATGTAGAACTGCTTTCGAGAGTGCATTCAGATCCATGTATGCGATTCCCCTTCAAATCTCAAGCTTGCCGCCAATGCCATCTGATGGTGGCCAGTGGTCTACTCTTCACAGCTGGGTGATGCCAACATCCTCATTTCTGGAATTCATCATGTTCTCAAGGTACATATTTTTTAGTCCTACACCTCATACTTCTCCAATTCTGTTTCATAACCATTTCTTTTTTACTGTTTCAGAATATTTGTTGATTCACTTGATAGCTTGTTCCAAAATGCGAACTACAGCTCTGATTCTTGTTTCCTTGGAATTTCTGAGCTAGAGGTAAATAGAATAGATTTTGTATAAGAATATTCTAATGAAAAAATTAGTCAGGATGAATTTCAATGCCCTTGCATTTATTTTGAGATTAACACAACATTAATTAATCACTATAATGCATTAACATGAACAAGCTTTTGATACAACATTATAATTAGTATATCTAAAAATGAAAAATTATTATATGGTAATATTGCAAATTAATAAACATGTAATGAGAGCTGATGAAAGAAAAATAATAATTGATATTTAAAAAAAATTAGTTCTAGATAGTTTAACGATCAATCCTCTAATCCAACTCCATGAAGTTTCATAATATTAAAATTGACTATAAATATGTTGCTCTTTTAAATATTAGAAAAATAGGAAAAAAAGTCTCAAAGGTGTGCAATTTGAGGGAGTGGTCTAGGCCTAGTTTGAGTGAGCCATGACGGTTGTTTGTATGATGGTATGTGGGACACATTATTCAAGGGCATGCATGTTCAATATATTTTTTATTTTTTTTAATTAGACATGAGGATGGAATATCTTGCACGTCTCACAGTAGAGTCATATGCGTCTGTGTCCTAAAGTGTCAAATACCATACACTGGTTTTGAATGAATTATAGGTTCATCATTGATTACTTATGTGATACAAAATTTTGAATATATTTCTTTGTCACTACTTCATCAAAACTTGAAAAACAACAAATAAAGGAAATAATTAACCAGCTAAGTTGTATAAAAATCACTAACACTTCTAAACTTTGCAAAAAACTCTTTCAAGACATTAACTCTCAAAGGTGTGCAATCTGCAGCCTTCATAAGGCTAAGTCTGGATCGAAAGTGGCAAGATCTTTTATCCATGGGCAGTACCTGACTATATCTATCAGGTTTTTCCGTAGCAGAACTGCTATTCGGTTCCTGCAATAGGGCATCTGGAAGATCTAATTTTTAATCTAGAGTACTGTTTTTCTTGTGTTTAAGAACCATTACCTGCAAATAATAACAAGAAATTGTTAGACCGGCCAAAGGGCTGGTTGAACCGGTTCATGTATATGAGAGGCAGATAAAAGGGGGGCGGGGGGGGGGGCATAGGCCTGGCTGGGGAAGCTGCTTGGATCGGGCCCACACACTAATGAAGCTTTGGGTTGGATGAAAAATTCAAATGGCTGGGGAAGCTGCTTGGATCGGGCCCACACACTAATGAAGCTTTGGGTTGGATGAAAAATTCAAATTAAGTGCTGCTTAGAGGTTAATGAATTGTCTTTTTGCTTTAAATAATTTTCTTCTTGCTAGGGTTAAGGTTATCTTGAATCAAATTTGAAATTTGAGCTCTCTGCTTGTGGTTTTGGGCTCTAGACTTCGACTAGAGATTGAAGAGTTGAATCTTCCGCTCGAATTGAAGATTCGTTGTGTCGGGAGGGGCATAAGCCTGGCTGGGGAACCTGCTTGGATCGGGCCTACACGCTAATGAAGCTTTGGGTTGGATGAAAAATTCAAATTAAGGGCTGCTTAGAGGTTAATGAATTGTCTTTTTGCTTTAAATAATTTTCTTATTGCTAGGGTTAAGGTTATCTTGAATCAAATTTGAAATTTGAGCTCTCTGCTTATGGTTTTGGGCTCTTGACTTCGACTAGAGATTGAATAGTTGAATCTTCTGCTCGAATTGAAGATTCGTTGTGTCGGATTTTTTTGTCATCTCTCACTGAATTTCATGTGCTTTCCTTTGTTTTTTCCCTACAAATTTTGTAAAATTTGAAATTCAGCACCTTTCCTCTGCTTTGGTGGTTTTTTTCCTTTCAAATTGGTATTAGAGCACGTCGATCTAAGGGGTATCAATGGTCGAAAGGAAAGTGGAGGTTTTGGAGGGAAAATTAGGTAAATTAAAAACTGATTTTTAAGAAAAAAATTCTGATTTTCAGAACAGATTTGCATCCGTCCATGAAAAGAAGGATGGAAGGTTCGCCGTAGTAGAAGACGTGTTGAAGAAGTTCCTTGAAGACAAACTCAATGTGGCAACATCGGAAGCGAATGAAACCACCGGAGGCCATGGAAGAGGTGGAAACCCTAACCTATTTAGGGGAAGGGAAAATCAAGAAGTGGAGATTCTGGAGGGAGGAGATGAGATGCCTCTGTTAGAATCGTTTTCTAGGGAGGAGATAAGTATCGGGTACGAACGAAGGGTTGCTGATTTTGTAAGAAGAGGCAATGATTACGATCGTCGCGGTGCTAATTTTGAAAGAAGAAGAGCAGACTTTGAAGAAGGATTTGGGTTTGAGCGTCAAAGGGAAGAGCATGTCACTTTGCGAGGAATAGGGGGCTATGGAGGATTCTGAGGAAACGGAGGTGACCCGAGAGTAAGGAAGATGAAGATGCCTTTCTTTGAGGGCGAGGACGTACATGAGTGGATCTACAAGGTAGAGATGTACTTTATAGTTAATGGGTTGCTAGAGGAGGAAAAGTTGACAACAGTTGGACTGTGTTTGGAGTGGAAATCATTGAGTTGGTATCAGTGGAGGGACATAAGGCGACCCATTTGGAGGGAATTCAAAGATTGTTTACTAGAGCTTTTTCATACCAGTAAGGGAGGAGATTTCTATGAGCAGTTCTTTGTCCTGACACAGGAGGGGATAGTGGCAGAGTATCGTGACAGGTTTGAGTACCTTGCCAGTAGGCTATACTAACTCTTTGGGAAACTTCATAAAGGGCTTAAATTAGAGATCCGAGCAGCTGTTAGAGTGATAAGGGCTCGTGACTTGGGGAGTTCATGGAGATGGCACAGTTGCTCGAGGACCAAAAGTACTGAAGAGGAAGGCTAGGGGAAGTAGTTCAGGGGGGGGGGGGTCATATAGGGTGACCATCTTCTTGCTCCTAAGGTATTTAAACAGGAAAGTCTGCGAGATCGAAGGAGAAGGCTGGAGGGGGATTTGGGGGAAATTTCAAGAAGTTCACTGAGTTGCAGGAGAAGCGGGCAATGGGTTGTGCTTGAGATGTGATGGGAAATACACGGCGGGGCATGGGTGTAATAACCGAACTCTTCAGGTTCTCACTGTCTGTGTTGATGAGGAAGCTGAGGAGGGAGGTGAGACCGGGCCAGTGGTTGAGGAAGAGGAGAAATTGACAGAGATATAGTGGTGTTGATTGACAGTGTGGCTACCCACAATTTTATCTCCAATTAGATCGTAGGTCCGTTGTGGGTGAAATTAGTGGATATCAGGAGATATGGGGTGATGATGGGCACTGAAAAATAAAGATGGATAGAGGAGTATGCAGGGGAGTTTTGCTGACTCTCCAGGGGGTCCAGGTGAGGGAAGATTTTCTTCTACTAGAGCTGGGAAGCCTGATGTCATCTCTAGGATGATGTGGTTGCAGACCTTAGGAGACACTAAGGTTAACTGAGGAGCATTAATGATGGAGCTAGTGTTGGAGGGAAAACAGATGGTGATCTAGGGAGATGCAGGATTGTCCAAGGCCATGTTGTCCCTCAAGACCATGGTCAGGACCATACAGGTGGAGGGAGGGATTCTGGTGGAGCTACAGAGTTTAGAAGAGATTACATTGGAGGCAGAGGGAGACATCCCTTTGTCAGTACAATCGCTCATACAACAGTTCAAGGGGTTTTTTCAACCACCCCAGGGCCTATCACCACAGGAGTTAGAGAACGCTATTACCTTGAAGGAGGGTGTCATCGATCAGTGTTAGGCCATATCGCTACCCCCAGATTTAGAAGGATGAGATAGAGAAGCTGATCCGTGAAATGTTGGAAGCCGGGATCATCAGGCTGAGTGTGAGGGGTTTTTCTAGCCTAGTCTTACTGGTTAAGAAAAATGATAAGAGCTGGAGGTTTTTTGTAGACTATCGAGTCTTGAATAAGAAGACTATGCCAGACAAGTTCCCCATTCCAGTGATCGATGAGTTACATGGCAAGCTATATGGAGTAGTCATGTTTACTAAGATGAATTTGAAATATGGTTACCACCAGATCAAGATAAGAGAGGAGGATGTCCAGAAGACAGCATTTAGGACACACGAAGGACATTATGAATTCCTAGTGATGTCTTTTGGTCTTACCAATGCTCCTGCTACTTTCTAGCCTCTTATTAACAAGATATTTCGACCATATCTCCGAAAGTTTGCATTATTCTTCTTTGACAACATACTAGTGTATAGCAGGTCCGAGGAGCTCTGGAACACTTGAGGGTGGTTCTAGAAGTTTTATTAGAGCATCAGCTGAGGGCCAACCTAAAGAAGTGCAGCTTTGCACATGCTAGTGTGGAGTACTTGGGGCACGTGGTATCCAAGGAGGGAGTGGCGGCCAATCAAATCAAAATTAAAGAAATGCAAAGTGGCCTCTATCTTGGAATCTGAGAGAGTTGAGGGGCTTCATACGGTTGACTGGTTATTACAGCAGATTCGTGAGGGGATATAGTACCATCACCTGGCCATTGACTGAGAAACTGAAGAAGTATAACTTCTTGTTGGGAGAAGCAGTGACCCAGGCTTTTGAGTGACTGAAAGGGGCAATGAATGTAGTCCTGGTTTTGGCTCTCCCGAATTTCAATCAGATTAGATCTTTGTAGTGGAGATAGATGCTTCAGGATATGGGTTACAGGCCGTGCTCATTCAAAATCACTGACCCATAGCCTACTTCAGCTAAAGTGCTGTCAGCTAGAGCTAGGTTGAAGTTAGTTCATGAGAGGGAATTGATGGCCATTGTGTTGGGTATTCAGAAGTGACACCCTTACTGGGTTTGCATTTCGTTGTTAGGATAGAACTGAAAAGCTTAAAATACTTGCTAGAGCAACGTTTGGTGATTGAGCATCAGAGGTGGTTGTCCAAACAGTTGGGCTATGATTTCGATATTCAGTATAGATCAGGTTTGGAGAATAAGGTGGTTGATGCCTTATCAAGATGTGTTGGGGAGCTCCAGGAGATGGCCATTTTTGCACCAGTGATGATAGATTGGGGAGCTATCAAAGAATAAAGTATGTAGGACAAGCTGAAGAGGATTAGGGAGAAT